AAATACGAGTGCACCCAGGTATATAAAACAATATTAATGGGTACAAAAAATCAAATAAGCACTAATTCAATACCCCACTGTTACAAAAAGACTGGTCAACTAGACAAAAAATCAATGGAATAATAGAACTGAAGCAAAGTTTAGAACAAATAGACTTAGTAGATATCTACAGAATGCTGTACCCCACAAGATCAGAATACACGTTCTTCTTAGCTTCACATAGGACATTCTTCAAAGTAGACCACATACGAACCCATAGAACATGCTTAAGTAAATGCAAAGGAATTGAAATTATCCCATGCATATTATCAGACCATACTGCAATGAAATTGGAAATCAATAGCAAAAGAAACCATAAGAACTTCATAAACACATGGAAATAAAATAGTACCCTCCCAAACAATCAATGGGTCACATGAAATTTAAGGAGAAATTAGGCACTTTCTACAATTAAATGACAACAATACAACATACCAGAACTTATCACAATGAAAACAATCATAAGAGGGAAATTAATAGAAGTGAATACCCATATCAGGCAAATAGAGCAAGCACAAATAAACAACTTAATGTTGAATGTTAAAATTCTAGAAAAAGAAAAGCAGAGTAAGCCAAAAGCTCATGCAAGGGAAGAAATTATAAAGATCACAGCAGAAATTAATGTATTGGAGACTAAAAAATGATACAAAGAACCAATGAATTGAAGAGTTGGTTCATTGAAAGATTAATGAAAATCAACAAACCCTTATCTACACTTACCAAATAAAGGAAAGAAAAGAGTCAAATCCATGCAATTAGGAATGAAAAGGATGAAATCTCTACAGAACCTGCAGAAATTCAGAAGATCATCTATATCTACTTTGAAAAGTTATATTCTAATATGATGGAAAATGCAGAAAAAAATGGACAGATTCCTAGATATATATGAATTACCAAAGCTGAATCAAGAAGATATACAAATCCTAAATAAAACAACAGCAATTAATGAAATGGAGGATGTAATTTAAAACCTATCAACAAAGAAGAGTCCAGGCCCTGAGGAACTCACTACTGAATTCTACTAGAAATTTAGAGAAGACTTAACACCAATACTTCTCAAACTCTTTATTGAAACTGAATGGGAAACAATATTCCCTAACTCATTCCTGGAAGCAAGTATTACCATGATAGCAAAACCGGAGAAGGACTCAACCAAGAAAGAGAACTACACACCAATCTCCCTAATGAACATACATGAAAAAATCTTCAATAAGATATCAGCAAACAACATGCATAAAATCATGAAGATTATATATGTAGCATGACGAAATGGGATTCATCCCAGAGATTCAGGGATGGTTGAATATATGCAAATGGATAAATATAATACACCATTGTAATAAAGCCAAGGAAAAAAGTCATATGATCGTCTCAATAGATGCAGAAAATGCTTTTGACAAAGTCCAGCACCCATTCATGATAAAAAACCTACTAAAACTCTAAATAGATGGCCTTTATTAGCCTAATACAAGCCATCTGTGATAAATCAACAGCTGACATCCTAGTAAATGGTGAAAAACTGCAAGTTTTAACTCTAAAATCAGAAATAAGACAAGGATGTCTACTGTATCCATCCTTATGCAACATAGTCCTGGAAACTTTCATAAGAGCAATTAGACAAGAGAAAGAAATAAAAGGAATAATGATAGGAAAGGAAGAAGTGAAATTATCATTATTTGCAGATGACATG